AATGGTGAGGATGGCTCAGAACATTTCCACTTGAACTGAATGTGTGGAACTGGAGAGATGTCTCCGCAGCTAAAACGTGTGCTGCTCTTCCCAAGGACCTGAGTTCGTTTCCCAGCACCTGCATTATGCAGCTCACAACTGTCTATATCTCCAACTTCAGGGATCCACTGCTGCCTTCTGACCTCTGTGGACACTACACTCACATCCACATAAACATACAAAGACATTAAAGATAAAATTCTTTTTTAAGCTTAATTTAATTTAAAATTAAACCTTTTAGTAAAATAAAAATGTAAGATGAACTGGACATGATGTCTCACATTTGGAAGCCCAGTGCTCAAGAGGCTCATGCAAAAAGATTGCTAGAGGCATGGGCTACATAGTAAGTTTCATGCAGGAAAAAAAGAATTTTCAATTGGTCTCTGGTCACCCCACAGCTTAGAGAGGCCCCAGAGTTAAATTAGAATTAAATGTTTCATTGACTGCCTTCTTTTTTGCCACCATGGTCTTTGCCCACTTAGGTTCTTTAAGTCTGTTTATTTCTTCAAATGGGTTGGTTGGGTGTGTAGCTCAGCAACAGAGAACTTGCTTAGTGTGCATGACGTCCTAGGTTTAGTCCCTTGTGCCACAGGGGAATAGCGTGTGTGTTTACATCATCCTCCTGCTTTGGCTGAAAACCTGCCAGGATCTTTCCCACGTAGTCGACTGCATGAGCTCTGATGTCCAGGCTGGGAACTGGTCCTGCCGCTTGAAGTTTGCTTGACTACGAACAGAATACTTAGACTTTGTCTTTATTCTTTCCTGTAATACATGTACATGAGTCAATATAAGGTATAGGATTATACAGAAAATTGTTTAAGTTATATGAGTCATTTTAAAGAGAATTTGTTGTACAAAATGAGTATTAGGTCTGTAGTATACTGGGAAATCTGCATATGTGGTTAAATCTTTAACCATATATTCTACACACCACATGACTTTTCTTACATTATATGTAGAATATATTTTCCACATTTTCAATTTTATTTTAAGTAAGTTCATTTACTTTTAAGTAGTCTAATTATACTTTAAACTAAACTATATTCTCCTTATTTTTTGCTGACCTGTAAGTATATATCATGTGTATATAGAATAATGATGAACTGAACTTGATGTCTCACACCAAAAAGCCCAATACTCAGGAGGCTTATGCAGGAAAATTACTAATATTGCTGATTTATGTTCTGAAATCATTTTTTAAGAGTTTTACCTTATTATACTTTATTGAGATGAAACCGTCAATCCTCAACTTAGCTATCAAAATATCCAAACAAAACAAAATCATGACTCCTAAAGGAATTGGGTCTCCAAAGATGGGGTCAAGGCCAGGAAGCTAGAAGCAAAGATAAAAACAAATGAAGAGTCTGTGCAAATGAGGTGCTGATTCTCGTCTGTCTTCACACGGGCAGGTAGAGTTCTCTAAATATGCAGCAAATATCAAGGTCCATTCCATTGTCTCTATACCTTTCCTGGCTTTCTTTCCTTCAGCTGAAAAACATCCCCTCCCAGAAGCAGCTTGGGTGTCCCAGAGAGTCATCTTTAAATCTATGTATCTATACATGTATCTCTAAATGCATATAAGGCTGCATTTAGATGGCAAGTGCATATATATGCTTATATCACAAGAGGGCAAAAATGCTCTCCTGTGATGTCCCTGTAGGCCAGGGTTAAGCAGAAATATATTTAGCATGAGTGTGGGTGAGAACTTTCATTTTCAAATATCTTAGCACTTTATTATGCAGCTGAATTCATCCTTGGCCTAAGCAACTAGTTTGTCTACTAGTTATATAGTATGCCGTCAGTATTCCACAAGATGAATCATAAAAAACAACCTTTATGTAATGTAACATAGATGCCAATCAAGGTCAGTAAATAGTCTACAAGCCACAGAGGCACACAGAGCTGTGTGGGATTTTAAATGAAGCCCCTCTCATGATTGACACCTTGCTAGTGTCTATCTCTCTGGCATCCTAGCAGCCCAGGCTGAGGATTACAACTTCAGAAGCACTTTACTTCTGCAGGTGTTTCAGAGGCAGTGGAAAAAACCTGTCACACAGATGGCGGGGATTTCCTTGGTACCATGCATGGAAGCTTCAAAGAATGCTTGGGGGGAAGAGACACACACACATCAGTAGTTTGGCTTCATTTTTGGTACCTCTCCACCTTACAGCTACACTTTAAGAAACTCCCGAGAAATCCCAAGGGACACTGTCCAGAACTTGACAGCTCATGTTCAGTCATATAGACCCTTCCGACTGACTTTACAACATGGCTTTACAGCAGGTTCCCGATCCTCATCCCATTCTAGAACCTCTGAGAAGTGATAGCTAGCACTCCCAGATTCCCAGGCCCTGTCATTCCTGATTTAGTCAGAGTAGTGGAAGCTGGTACATAGATCACCATCTTTTAAACAGCCATGGACTTCAGTGTGTGCAGTGATCTGCAAGTCTTTGTAGTTGTGTATACTGCATAAATTTTGCATTCTCCAACTATGAGGCTTCCAGTTTGTAAATATTTTATTTTTTTTAAATTGTCCTGTCTCTATTTTTTCAACTACAGTTGGCTGAACTGGGGCCCAGAGAGCTTTCCTAGAGGTTGATGGCATCTCACAGGTTATGAGTGGGTAGACAGGCTTGCAGAAGCCGGTCTCTCAGTCGTCTCAGTGCAGAGCCTTGTTTTTTGCTGTTTTTCTAGCCTCAGAAAACATGTCAATTCATCTCATTTATTCTGACCTGTAACTCTTGATGTGATTTTCCTTTGTTTGTAAGTGTGGAGGTATAGCCAATGTGATTAGCTTTAAGCCAGTAGGCCATCATCAAGACCCATAAAATGACACACTCAAATGACAGCTGTGAGCTTTATTGTAGCAACTTCCTGCTTGCTACATAATCTTCCCATAACACTCTAATACTAACATAGAATCAACCTAGGAAAAACACCAAGAAGTTACAGGGTGAACTATAGTCACTCCACAAGACCTTTAGGTTATATCACTACCTAATGTCAGGGCGGAGGCAACAATGTGCCAGGAAAATCTAACCAGACACCAGATCCCAGGGCTGATGAGAGGAATCACTTGATCTCTGTCTTCACTCTGACACCAGAGCATGCACTTACCTCACTAACATCTCTTTTGTTTTCCTGTCACCTAACATTTTAAGAAATGTATTAGTCAGATTTCTGTCAATAAGAAAAAATGCCTGAGATAAGATATCAGCTATAAAGAGAATATTTACATATATGTGTATTTATATACTCTCATATATATATGTATATATATACACATATATGTGTGTGTGTGTATTTATGTATATATACGCACACAGACACACACACACACACACACACACACAGACACACACACACACACACACACACACACACACACACATATATATATATATATATATATATATATATGTTCATAGCACTAGAGGTTTCAATCCACAGTCCTCGGTCATGTCCCTTTGGATCTGCTATTGCACAGTATAACATGGAGGTCACAAATCCTGGAGAAGTCTGTTCAAATCGCAACCAGGATGCAGAGAGAGATCGACCCTAAGCAGCCTCTTAAGAGTCCCCTCCCTGTAACCTAACTCCACCTCTGTGTGCCCTATATACCAAGGGTTCTACCACCTTCTAATGGTACCCCAAGCTAAAAGTCAGTCTGTCAATACGAGAAAGGCCGATGGATGATATTTAAGATATAGTCCATAACGAGGAGTAACAACTTTCCTTAAGCTCCTTTAATGTCTCTGCAGCTACATCACTCCCAGAGAAAATTTTGTTGTGTGCATTAGCTATAAGGAAAGGACATAGCCAAGACATCCACAGAGGAGTTCTCCTCTGGTAGACATTGGTCTGTTGCTTCTGCCTTGTATTTAGTCTTGGAGTAAAATTTAAATAAGAAATAAGCATAAGGTATCATGTGTTTAAAAAGATTGCCAGGGAAGGGAGGGACAAACCACAGAGTTAAAAAGATGCAGCTCGGAGTGTGTTTACAATGGTGGCTGTAATTTCCCTGCAGTGAGACAGCAGCAGACTGAGGCTGAGGTGCTGATGGTTGTCAGCTCTGGGCTTGGACGCCTGCATTGTGCTCAAGCTGTTTGGTGTACAATTGGTCTTTTTTCTTGGGCTCCCGGTAGTTAAGGCAGCCATGTTATTATAAGCAGCTTCATGTAGGGTTCTGTGCTTCATACTCTCCTTCTTCTTAGGAAGCCATCTGGGTAAGCCATTTTGAATGTTAAGGCAAGCATATTAGTGATTCTTCATGCTTTCCTGAATGACTGAGTTAAATTATTCGAGATTCTCGGTTGACTGCCTTTGCTACAGAAGTCGTCTCTGTACACGCTACAGAACCTTCTCCTGTGTTCTTATGTTTTCTTACTCTATCTATGGTAGGGAAAGAGAAGAGGAAACAGACCAGTAGGTAGTTTAAAATAAACAAGTCCATGCTGTGCTAATGCGCAGATTTACATGTATTGTCAATGCAGGGTTTCAGAAAAGCATCTGAAATCTAGGATATGAAAGATCGTGGTGGCAAGAAATACATTTGACCAAAGACACCTTGAGTGTAAATAGAAGCATGTGTCTTTATTGACACCAGAGTTATCAGTGCAAAGTTATGTGTGGCATAGATATGCTGTTTACTCATAACGAATCTTCCTTCCTTCAGTAAGCAACTTACCTCACTGATAAGTCACGGACATGCATATTTAAAATGATAGTTAAATATACCTGAAGTAAGTATTTTTAGCACCAGAGTTGAGATGTTGCCTAGATGAGTGCATACTGATGCTGCCTTTCCTGGTGGTATACCCAAGGCCTGGACCTTATAAGGGAGGAACAATTTTAATGCCTCCCCCTTTCTATTTTTTATATGTGCTTCTAGTTACTATGACTCTGTCACAAATCATTACTTTAATTTCCTTTTATGCCCCTCTTCTCACTGTTGACTTCAGGTCTGCGAATATCCCAGGATACACTGGCAAGGTTCATTTCACAGCCACCCACCCAACAAATTCTAATATTCCATCAACAATGCCAGCAGATTCAGAGATGAACCGGTAAGTAGGAATCCTATTACTCTGTTTGCTTGCATACATTAGAAAGAGAAATGATAATTATGGCTATTCCATTAAAGGACAATTAAATACTAAGTGTGAATTTGCAGTGCTTAAGAAAAATGGAGAGACAAGTCCAAAAAAGAAAGCAGTTCATTTTCCTACTGAAGGGAACTTGACACAGAACTGCTTTGGGGAGGGGGGCATGCAGGTTAATGGATTAATGGTCCTGTTGACCATGCTAACAGTGGTCCCTTTAGGCTCTTATTCAGAGCATATTGTGAGAAGGCATCTTCATCTCTGAGACACCCCCCGAGTTGTGTATATACATCATCAATCAGCTATTATCAACGCTGCACGCTACTTAGTGTGTGTAGCAGGAGTCGTGAATGCCTTTCTTGTAAATGTCTTTTTATAAAAAAAAAAAAAAACAAATAAAAATCTGTTGAAATTCCCAAGGATTTTAATGCCCATTTTTACACATTAAAACAGAAGGCAGTGGATGGAGAGAATAGAAGAATAGTTTATTTACAATCAGTAGTGGAAGGCGACCCACTACTCTCATCGTTCCTTCAAATTTGTAAGCACTTGGTGGAGGTCTTGGTTTCGAACTAAGAGGACTACAGAGTTCTGAAAATGCAGGTGTAACCTGAGTCTAAGGCAGGCATGTACAAGTGAACAAGATATGCTGGATGTTCCTCCCTGTCACTTGATCCAAATAACTCTACCCAAATCATCCTGGCAGTGGTGGTGGTTCCCCTCACTAGATACCTGCCCCAATACTGGGTTCTCAAAATAAAACACACACACACACACACACAGCCTTATATTTAATATGCCTCAAACAGGTCAATGGCTGGTCCACTTCAAACCTTCACATAGATAACATATTCCCCTCCAATATTCCTGAGTTATTACTTACTAAAACCTGTATTCCATCTTGGCTGCCCTGGACTCAGACCTGCAGCCCTCGTGGGCTAGTTCCTCAGCACCTACATGATGGCTATATTCTCTGTCTGGCACATCTCAGGAGTGGCTTCCACTCCTCTCCCACCATGGCCACTCTCCCCTTTCTGCTCCTTCCTCAGTCCCTTGCCCGGGAATCCTAAAGTCTTGCCTCTGTCTCCCTGCCCAGCCATTGGCCACCGCAATTTTATTTACCAATCAAAGCCAACTGGGGGCAGGGTCTCTCAGAATGTGCACATGAAGATTCTTGTGTAATTTGGGGAACCAAATTAACATAATACATGCAGCATTAAACCAAATCCACAACACTTTCCCACAAGGGCATCTTTTCCTCTAGATCACATTTGCTCAGTGGGGGAATATTCCATTTATCACATATGTATCTCCACTTGGGCAGGGCACTGAATACACACATCTCCACAATTAAATCCAAAATTGTGAAAAGAACACTAAAGAAAACATAAGAGGGCCAGGCACAGCGGCACATGCCTCTAATCCCCAGCACTCACTTGGAAGACATGGATGGGCATTATCTCTCTGAGTTCAAGGCCAGCCTGATCTACATAGAGTCCTAGGCCATCCAGGGATACGGAATGAGACCCTGTCTCAAAACAAACACCACAAGTAACTGAATAGAATAATTTGGAGCCCTGAAGCAGGCTCATGTCATAAACATGTCATTATGTCATAGTGTCATAATGCTGGCATCTAGAATATGCAGTGTGTGGCTAGGGAGGGCTCTCTGAGGACTGAGGCTAGGACTTGACCATTAGGCAGAGCTCTTCTTTCCAGAGACTGGAATTTTCTGGAAAGCTATAGCTGTAAATGAGAACAGCATCCACAAAGAGGGTCACCCAGCTTCTCATTTTGTTATTCATCCATTTTTGTTTAATCCACATGTTCTCTTACCATATTGTCACATAATGCTTGTGTCCCAGTGATTCTTAGGAGCACAGCTAATTCACAGGGGGTGAGCAAGAAACTGAACAAGAAAGAAACTACCACAAAGGATGACTCCCAGAACCATCAAAGTTTAATCACCTTGCATGCTCAGTTGCTGTTACTGTCTGGGTACCTGACTAGGAAGGGGCTCTTACCAATCACAGTTCACACTGAGGAAACTGAGTCACATATAAGCGACAAGGATTTGTGGAGAGTTGAAGAAGATCCTATAGTAGAATTGCTTCAAGGAATAATTCTTGGAAAGGAGGGGTCTCAGATACTTGAATGTCAGGGGACAGCATCCCTACAAAGCGTAGACAAGAATCTGAGGTAAGAGACTAGGGCCACCTTAAACCTTCTGTGTATTCTTCATCCTACAAAGGCTCTTCTGTAAATGCAACATTAAAGGATAGGATAGGAAAGGTATCATTTGGCAGTAGGCTTTCTCAGCATATCTAAATTTCTATTTGACAACCATGTTGCATACCCAGCCATCTCTCTGGTCCTAAACATCGCAATAGAAAACCAGTACCTTTCAGGCTAATAGTTGGAATTCAATTTAATTTACTTCTAAGACTTTGTTTCCAATATTTGTAAGTAAAATTAAAAAAATAAAATTTACCAGACATATCTAAAGAAATATGGTGTTATATGATATACATAGAGAGAAAGAGATAATTTCTAGAGTCAACCAGATGAATACATTCATCATCTCAGTTTTTCACTCCCAATGGCAAGAACAACTAAAGTCTACTCAGGAAGCAAAATTTCTGAATGCAGTACACTGCTATTACCCATTAGCCCCCATGTCATGTTAGATCTCTAGACTTGCTCTTATCTACTGCCGTGGCTTGTCCTCTCACCAGCATCTCTCCGTCTCGCCATTTCCTCCTACCAGTCTTTCACCCTTTCTAACCCCTCTCCCTTTGTATATTTAGGGTTTTGTTTAAATATAAATTCACATTAAATGTGATCATACCATATTTTTCTTCTACTTCTATATTGTTCATTTAGCATAGTGCCCTTTAGGTTTGCCCACGTATGGCAAAGGTCAGTATTTCCTTTTACATTACTCAGCCTCTTTTCTAATACTGGAGAATATTCCAGAAGGATTTTAATGTATAGTTATTCATTAACTCCCCCATCAATAGGCATCTGGATTATTCCATATCTTGGCAATTAAAGATCGTGATGAACATGTGATATAGATGTGTCTTTGAAGCAATTCTCAGATCTTTAGATGGCTATGCTCCTGACATGGGTTGCTGGACTATCTCAGAACTCCATTTCACACATGCCCAGGGCTTCCCATGCTGTTTTACATAATGACTGCACCAGTCTACACTCCCTCCAACACTGGGAAAGACTCCGTCCTCCCCAGTGTCACCAGTGTCCCTTGTCTTTTCTCCCTTGATAAGAGTCCCCCTAGAAAGTGTGAGACAATAGCTCATTGAGATTTTATATTTGCATTCTCTGGTCATTGGTGATTTACAGCATTTTTCATATACTTTTTTTTCACAATTTTGTCTTTTTTGAAGAAAGTCAATGCAGGTCCTTGGTTTTTGTGTTTGAGTTGAACTGGTTGGTTGGTTGGTTGGTTGGTTGGTTGGTTGGTTGGTTGGTTGGTTAATATGTCTTGGATATTAACCCTTTATAAAACACTTAAGTCACAAGTATTTTTCCCAATCCTTAGGTTGCCTTCTCTTTTTGATGTTTCTTTGTCTTGCAGAAGCTTCAGTTTGCTACATCCTGATCTTATTTTTGACTTGTAGCCCCAGCTTTTGCTGTGATATCCAAGATAACATTGCACATTTCCCATGTTACAAATCCATTTCTGAAAGCAAGACTGAAACAATTACAATTTTGTTGCATATAAAGAACATAAACAATGTCCTCATTAAACACATCCTTGTACCTACCAGGATAGAAGAGTGAAGATTAGAAGTTCTGCCTGGCTGGCTCATGATTTCCACTATGAATTTAAAGACCTCCATTAGAGCAAATGGGGGCATTTTCTCATAGCTCTCCGTTTTGTTTGCAATCCCACTTAAACCCCAACTGTGTGAGGCTTTACCCAGACATCCTGTTGCTGTAACACCTTCCCACACATCCTGCACCTCTACATAAGCAGACAATCCAACAGCAGGCAAAGGCTCCTTTTGTCTTTCAGACAAACCTCTACTCTAAACTGAAAGTAACCCTTTGTTTTGCAATCAGAGAGAAAAATCCAAGTCTTTCCTAGGAATATTCTCATTCCATCAGGCTCCTGATTCTCCCACAGTTGTCCCCAACACACACATGGATGTCTTTTATTACCTCAGAGTGAGCACATGCTATCTTCTGAGGTAACATTTCTGGGGCTCTTAATCTGAGGGTGAAGAACAATGGAAATAGCAACAACTAGAGTGTTTCCTTCAGCTCAGAGAGGGTTTGCCATGTCTTTACTCTGACCAGTGTACAGCACACAGTTGCCCCTCACAAAAACCTTCAGCAGCTGAGGTGCTTCTGGCCTGAGAAAGGACAGTCCAGAGGAAAAGGACAAGCGTAAATTTAAAACAACTCTGTAGTGATGTAAAGATGCCTCTCACAGAAAGGCAGGCCATCTGCATTTAGTCTGGACCTAGGGGTAAAAAGAAAGGGGAAGGAGTGACCAAAGCTCTCCTCCATGAAGTCCCTGTCTCTGACATTTTTGTACCACTCTGTAAGTGCTTTTCTGAAAATGTCTAGTGCAAAGCATAAGGCCATGTGTCTGACTACTGCATATCATATAGACTCTGTGAGCCGCTTTCCTCATGGTTGAGTCTATGTGGTCTAATACCTGTTTCCTGTTGTATTTTCTTCTGAGCATCATGTTATTTGGGAACTCTTGCATTTTTTTACTCCACTGTATGATTTTAAGAGTTTGTAATCTGTTCCTCTCTTTTTAGACACCCATGCCTGTTTCTGCACTGGCAATAACCAAGCCTTTCGGGACTACATATAATCTTCTAGTCCTTTCCATATGCCCCTATAAAGAGACCTGGGCCAACACTCATTTCCTCCACTACTCTACTCTGCAACTCATAAGTCCATCACAGATTCCTTTTCTTCCTCCCAGGAAGATGTTCTCTCGCTTATGAAAGGCTTGTCCTTCCCTCTCAACTTGAAACCTCTCCATTTCTGCTCATGTCTTACTTAGCATCTGGCTTTCCTCTGCTGACTGGCTAGTCTCTTGACTTCTAAACTTCTTAAAGAAGCAATCACTCTCAGTACCCTACTTCCTCTTTCTCCTAGCCTGTCCCCCAACCTTATGCCATCTGAATTCTGATAGCACTGGTAAAGTGAGGGCTTCTTGCCAAATTGAGGACTAATGCAGGGTCAGGAGACTGGAACCGTTGACATCTCTTCACACAGAGGATAGGGACGGTGCATTTGCCAGGAGTCTTTGTAGAAGATAAGACCTCAGGGCCAGCTTGAGCCTTTTAATTGCTTAAACTCTGGAGGATACATGAAAAGGAGTCTCCATTCTGAATTTCAAGCCGTGTGTAGTGAACTCCAAGTGCCTTTAAATTCATATGGGGCCAGGCTGCAGAATAGATGGGAGCTTTCGGGTTGGTCTATGTCCACCTCTTTTCTAAGCATTTGCTATAAATCTAGGATACATTTTTAGAAACAGAACACATGACATGGTAAGCAAAGCAGGGGTGGCCATTCCCAGCCTCCTCTTGTGACAGTCTCTACTCCACCTTTCCCTCCCTGGGTCCTCTATCCCTTCTATTTCATGCATCATCAGTTGGATAAAAGTGAAGTATTTGTTTTCATGTTGACTATTTATGTCATTTTTTTCTTCTTGTTCCATTCTGATCCTAGCCTCTTACTACAAGAAATGAGAGTTGACCACTTCCGTCACCAGGGCCCATTGTCCCAAATGGTGACAACTGTGAAGCCCTACAACCCTTTCAACAAGAAGGAAAAAGAAACCATTGAGTACTGAAAGAGACCACACCCCTGAGAGACTTCTCAGTCCAGCTGGGGGAGGGCTTTGTGCACAGTGATGGAGAACAAAAAGGAACACAGAATGGTCTAAATGTGTCTGTCTTTATGAATCGAGGTAAACAGAAAAACAGCATGTCCAGGCCTGGACTCAGGCGCTCCCTTCCCCTGCTGGTAGCCACTCACCCTGGTCTGTGATCCATGATAGTGGCTGGGACCCAGAGAGGCCCCACAAAAGGAGTCTTCTTCCATTTTGGAATAGGGAGCCTCCCTAGAGGGTCATAGTTTGAGAAATAGAGAGGATCTTGCCCAGACCCCAAGAGGTAGCAGTGGGAAGCTGAGAAGTGGAGACACACTATGGTGTATCCTTTTAGTCACCTAGGGGACAACACAACATTGAGACATTATCTAGAGACAGATAGGAAAATCATTCTTTCTTCTCCAGGATCTCTGCTGTAGAGCATGAAGCATTCCTATGCTCCCTGAGGGTCCTTAGACAGGCAGGACCAACCATATACAACTTCAGATTAGTGTGGCCTGACTATGCTTCACTAACAAGCACATAAGCAGCAGAAGCACCCCAGGGTCTTGCCAGTACAGTTCTATTTGTAGATTCAGGAAGCATGTGCATGCTACTTTGTATACATCTGTATGAGCCTATTCGAGTTACAAAGTACTTGTATAATCTTATTTAATTTGCATTTGATGTTACAACCCCACATTACAGTCATGCAGCATTATACACATGCCTTGCTGTTTTATAAATAAAACACTTTGAAGCTAAGAGTAAGGTACTTATCTGGAACTCGGATTATCTGGCTTTAGGTAACTTACCTCAACTCTGACCCATTTCTGTGAGGATTGGGTAACCTTCAATGAATTGTTCACAAACAAAACTAGACACGGAGGGAAAGCTCCATGTGTTTTTAGTTTTTTTTGGAGTGCTTCTCAGAGATTCTTTCTGGCATCTCAAACTCCCCCAAAATACACAAGAGAGGAGTTTACCACATAACTCCTGTACAAATGCATTCAAGGGAAGCTAGGACTTTGTTTTCCCAGAAAACGAAACCGGGAATGTAGCTCGCTTTCTGTTGTGGAATGATAGGTTGCCTTGGTGGACAAGGAAATAATTTTAATATTGACTCCTACACTGCAGCAAATGGAAAACCACCAGCCATTGGGACATACTGAAGACATGATTTGCCTTTTGAGAAAAAAGAAGTGCTTCAGTTGAGCACAGATTACAGTCTAATAAGAGACTGCATGTCCACTGTTAGGGTTTGAACTTGAAATGTCCCTCACAAGCCCTTGTGTTGTAACACTTGGTTCCCAGCTGTCATACTACTGGGAATCCCAATGGGCTGAAATGGGCAACTGTTGGAAGGGGCTTTTAGATTATAGCCTGGCCTTGGGGAGGCCTTATTTCTATTGGTGTGAGAGAAAACACCATGACCAAAAGCAATGTGGGATTATTCCATCTTATATTTTATAGTCTGTCATGAGGCAAGTCAAACCAGAAACTTAACACAGGAACTTGGAAGCAGGAACTGAAACAGAGGCCATGGAAGAATGCTGCTTACTAGCTTGCTCCCCCCCCCCAACCCTGAGCTTTCTCAGTTTGCTTTCTTACCTCAGGACAAGAACCCTAAGGATGACACCACCCATAGTGGGCTGAGCCTTTCAGTATCAATCATCAATCAAGAAAATGACTCTCAGGCTTGCCCACAGACCAATCTGATGAAGTCAATTCTTCAGCTGAACCCCCTGTTCCCAGTTAATGCCAGCTTGTGTCAAGTTGACAAGCTAACTGTCATGGACCTGATAAATCGGCTGCACCAAGACATGAATGAGGACCCTTGCCCTCATATCACCACAGTGTTGCCCACCCTACACTTTCTCTGCCACAGTAGACTACAATCCTCAGCCCAAGAAGCAAAGCAATTCTTTCTTCTTTAAGTTAATTCTTCAGGTATTTTATCACAGCAGTGAGAAAAATGAATGTACAGAAACAGATTAACATCAGACCAAGATAAAAAATCTTCCATTCTGGAATATTCTTAGAGAAACACAAATGAAATGAGCCCATCTAGCAAGTAGATCAATGAGCTGCCTGACATTCAATTTTCAGCAAATATTTTGGACAAACCACTTGTCAGAGGCGCTGCTGCTCAACCTGAGGCACCTGCTCATCTTTCTGGGGCTTTTTGTAGCAGGACACAGTAACAGGTGTTATAACATTTTGTGATCTGAAACATTTTTCCATTCTCTACAATGAAGATATCAGAACCCCATCAGGGCTCTTGAGCCTTCCCAAAGCTGCTTCTGAAACTCAGAAGAGACAGACACACTGACATTTTGGTAGGCCTATAACTCAACCAGGCTTCTCAATTGTGAAGATACAAGACAAATTCTGCTTACCACAGACTTAGAATGTGGATCAGGCATAACCACAGAGAGTAGAGCCATAGCAGTGTTCCTGGCCTGGGCATGTGAGCCACAGTACTGGTGCTTCTGTGGTCAGAGGTCCAGTCAAAGATGAATGTCACAGGGATATACACACATCTGCTCTTCAAATTATGCAACGTAGACTTGAATTACACAAATGCATCAGGATTCAGCACATAGGCACATTTTCCTCTTATTCAGTGCCCCATACAATGCTACTCTCACAGATCTTATATATCTGTAAAACATAAAAATAAAATATAAAAGAGAGTAACATAGTAAAGAAAACCTCTACTATTTAATGCAGTTATAAAGTACGGCATACATGCCCAGTGTGGTGGTAGAGAGCTACAATCCCACCTACTCTGGAGGCTAAGGTAGGTGGGTTACTTGTTCAAGACTAGCTTGAACAATTTTGCTTATCACAAAATATTTTTTAAATCACCTCAGAGGGAGAACACTTGTCTAACTAGCTGCTAAGCTTATTCAAGGCCCTGACTCATCTGGAAGAAAAATGCATGTTACTATTACACCAGCCAATTATGAAAGTTAACAATATGAAAAAGGTGGGCCTTGTGGTAGGGCAGAACAGAAACCTCAGAAATGGGCAGATGGAATCATTTTTACTCACAGGTGCACGATAAATCTTATTAAACATATGGTGTTAGGACAAATATGTAGAAACACAAAGAAATATGGTAGGTGCTCCTCTAGGGTCCATGACATCAGTAGTTGGCTAGGTTTACAGTACCAGGGATGAATTCCCTCCTTTTCTACAGTCCTTAAGCCCAATTAGATGGCTGCTAGTTGCCCCCCAAGATGTGTCACAACTGCACTCTTGGGATCATCTTGTCATGCTAGCCATCGTTGAGGGCTGTAGGCAGTACAACTGAGTAGACTATTGATTGCTTTTGTCATAATGGCAATGTGGCCCCAATGATTCATTTAGGGGAATATTAGACTGAAGAACTTAGTGGCAGGAAAACACTCCCCCGCCAACCTTTAAAGATTGGTTTTGAGAGCAGAATGCTAGGCAGAGAGAAAGGGGATAAAAGGGCCATTTGTAGCCAGCTACTCCTCAGGCACCATTTGGGACACATGCTTATCTGTGCCAGCTTCCTCTGGTAAAAATGACATTTTCATAGCACCACAAACAGCAGGTGCTTCCCATATTTGGAGATGTCTCTGAGACATATGAATATCAGTCCAATGGCATCCCTGACATGGTCCCTAGGTCAATAACCCACTTTACAAATGGCTTTGACAATGGCTGATAATACTCTTTGGTGGAGACAGTAGGATCTTCTCTTGCCAGGAGGAGAAAATAAGGAGAAAATCTGGTTTACATTCTCAAGAAAACCAGGCTGAATCCAGAGGTGAAAAGAAACTTGATACACCTAAAAACATGTTAAGAAGACCTTAGGAATGACAGTCCCTTTAATGAGATACGTAGTAGTTATATGACACCAAAAAAAAACCCCTCCCTTTATTCAGTTATTTACAGGACCTCACTGCTAATCTCACCCACTTTCTGAGTTCTAACTTAGAAAGCAAAGCATTTTTTGTTCTTTCTTTTTTTATTTAATCTCTTTTTTATTTAGATCTCAGTCAGAATCCTATCCTAAGACTCCTCACCAGGATTCATTCTCTCTCTGTCTGAATCTCTTCCTCCCTCTTCCCTTCCCCCGCCTTCTCTCCATGCACTCATGTGGGGTATATGTATGTGTGCATATGTGTGTATGTATACACCCACACCCACACAATGTCTAGCAAAATTCTATCGCTGAGCCTGCCTGTTTCCTTGATCTTCTGATGGAGAGTGAGTAACTTTTTCTCTTTTCCATCTTTCATCTCCCACAAGCTGCCAAGATCTGCAACTTGCCTGCCTTCTTGTTGTTTCCTCTGAGGCTTCACTAAAATTTTCCTCAAGTTCTCAGTAGATTCTGTTTTAAAATTCCTTGAGTATATCTCAAGTCTAACAGTTTTTAAAAGAGACTCTGTATCTTCAAATAATGGTACCTAAGAATCTGTTAAGCTATCCATCTCATCCTTATATAAGCTTGAAGAAGGGTGGTTCTAATATAGAGATAAATACAGAGATATAATAAAGTTACTCAGAGTAAAATATTTGTTTTCCTCCGCCTCCCAGTAAGCTCTGAGTTGATTCAATAATCACATTAACATAGAGACTCAGACACATGAAAGAAGGGTTTCACATTTACAACTGCTATTTTAAGAAACCCTTTGAACCATCCTGGTGCACACACCCAAATTCTAGTGGTTTATAAACCTGCTCTCCACCCACTCCCACTTTCTACACAGTTCTGAGTTCTTCTGTGTCTGCTACACGGTCCTAATGGTGTCAAAGGCTCCTTAGATGATTAAAAATACACCCTCACACTAAAACTGAATAAACCTTTCATTTTCTCAGAAGTGTCTAACGCACTGTGGGCAGTCACTAACTCGGATATCAACTACTCTCTTCAAATTGCCTTTGTGGCCAGAAAAGGCAATTCCCTGATAGTTGGTACAAACTAACAACCCAGCACTATTTCA